CATAGGAAATATTTGCTCTTTCAAGCAAAACTCTGTATTTAAATCCTTCCTACATTAAAAAATAAATTTCATAGAGAATAATTCATGTTTCTAGATAATGTTAACCTTTTTCATAAAAAAATCTCTTATTTCACAAAAAAGTCATTTTTTACATATTAAACCTTAATTATTTCGGAAATCTGACGTACTAGTGAAAATTGACTTGCAAAATTAGCATCCAAAAATCCATAAGAAACACCATGTTTGTTTAAAATAATGAAAACAATTTTTTTCATAGTTTTGTTCATCATTTTTAAAAGCAAGCTTTTTCATCGTGCCTTGTTGATGGCTAGACTTGGCTGATAAAAAATTGATGCTTGCGTGTTACTTTATATTAACAATAAGAATATTTGACAATTGTCTATAAGAATAACTGACAATTGTCAGTTGTCAGCAACGGAACACAGTCATACACTATGTGACACAGTGTTATACTGTCGATTTGCAGCTGGAACATTTTTTAGTTTTTTTATTTTATCGCCAGACTGCAGGACAGTTATTTTATATAGGATAGTAAAGTAACTGCCCTGCACTCTAGCAATAAAATAAATTTACATGTTTTGTTGGAAAAGCGAAAGAAGAAATAAAAAAAGAGAATTAGTATTTTTTATTTAACATATATAAATAACAATGAATTACTTGTAAATTTTGCTATCGCGAAGAGTGGCGAATTTGCAAAACAAACAATTTGTATGATTTTTGGATAATATTTTAACCAGGAAAATAATTGGTTTGGCCATCACAATGAGAAAAAAAAAGTAAAGTATTTACATAGTTATACATATTTGTAGGAACTAAGAATCATAATTATTGCATTCAGCACCATTTTATTCGACGATAGAGCGCGTTGATTAAAACTTAATCTTGTCATTATCTACAGAATAGATTCTATAGATAATGATTAGATAATAAGTTAGAGAGAGCGGTCTCTCTAAGATCGCTGAATCGTACGAATATATTGAGGATAACACAGTGATAATTTATCCTCGTATAATATATTAGCGATACTGTAATAATACTGTCATGATTTGTTGTTATACTAAATACGTAAGCGCAATAATTCCTATAAAAATTCCCTTAACATGCAAAAATTTTACTTACGACAACTACGAATCCTGAGAACTGCTTAAATATTATACCTATTACGTTACAATTTTGAGAAATTTAAAATTAAATTTTTGCGAAAAAGATTATCTTAATGAAAATTTTAGTACCTCTTTAATATAAATATTAATTAATAATATTATTGAGTGACATGCTAAATAAATTTTATTTTGCGTTTAAAATTAATTGTATTCTCGGAACTTTTAGTACTTCAAAATATTTATTATAATTATTATAAAATTAGTTATGATTTTTATAATTAAATATTAGATAAAAATTTTACGGGTAAATTATAAATTAAATTATTGAATATTGCAGGCAATCTATTGAATTTTAGTTATTTCTTTAAATTAAAAAATTTTTAAATTAGTAAATATTGAATATTACAACAAATTCAAAATATTAATAAAAGTAATAATAGACAAAAATTAAAAACAAGACAAATATTGTAAAAATTTATAAGTAAAAGTTTCTTTTCTACATACGTATACACACATACATTATTAAATAATCCGATTAAAGTAAATTAATATATAATATTGCGATATATGATTTATTGATAATAATCTATCTTGCAGACAAAATATATAATTTATTATATATTTCGTCACTATTATAGTCACTTTTTATGTAATAGGCCCAACATTTAATAATAAAAATTTATTAATCTTACTATGTGTTAAGTTTAATATTTACAAAAAATTTTCTATAAAAGCTAAAAATAAAAAAAAGATTTAATTTTTGACAGAAATAAAATTTTTCTAATACGTCACATACAGTAATTACATTACAAATTATGTTAAGTCTTTCATAGTTTTAATCTTAATTTTCTCAAAATAATAAGTATTTCTGAATCAAATTATATTGAACACTAAAGAATTATATTTTTTACTGTGCTTTTTCCATTAAATTGTTTATTTTTTATATTAATTTTACAAAGTAATGGGTCCAATACTTGAATTAAATTTGATATTAACAATTATGTATCTAAACTGAAAATTTTAAATATATATATATACAGGGTGTCCTATTTTAAAATTTAGTTATATCTCGCAAACCAAGTGTTTTAGAAAGCTCTAGAGACAAGCTACAAGAATATGTAACAAAAAATAATAGGTTCCATTTAAGAAATTCAAAGTGACCTTCATGTAATCTTTAAACAAATATCCAAGGTCAAATCTTTGCCACATCTTACGTCTCCCTTGAAACCATACAACTTTTGTTTGAAACATTTTTCAATAAAATTATTAGTTTGCGAAATATAATAGTGTAAAGTTTAAAATGAGACATTCTATATACACAAAAAATATTTTATAACATTGAGATTTATTTCATTTTAACGCATTTAGAACGTAAAAACAATAAAATTAATATACACCTCTAATAAAATTAATGTATAAAATTTTATCAACAAAATCGCTTTGTTTTAAAGTTGCAGTTGTTTTTTTTTGTTCCAATAATCTGTCTATCTCTTTAAAGAAAGTATTTCAAATAATTTGTATACCCAAATATAAGCAACACTTTTTACAGACCTTTTTATTAATTCAAAAGTTCCAGGTATTTATCAGATTCGTTGTTAGTTCTGTTAAACTCGTTGTCGAAGCATTTTAATGTTGTGAAAAGCTTTTTAAATAAATAATTCACTAAAAAATGAAGTTACAGGATATATTGTTTCCACGCTCTTCGGAAATATGTAATTTTATTCAATTTTTATCTTTGAAATTGTGGAATTTATGAAAGCATCTGCGAATTGCTTTATAAACCGATTGATCATATTACCTAATAAAATTCATTAAAATATCATACTGTTGTATGGTTAGAACAATGTCATCACTGAATTTTTCAGATTTTTTGTATATTGTTAAACTCTTTCAATTTTAATTATGTAAACCTTCCTCAGAAAATATAAATATATATCTTATTCTGCGCATATACATATACAAACTATGTTTGGAAATTATCAGTATGATCCTTGTAAAATTTCTGGCTGTATCCAAAATTTAAAAATCCTGTAAAAGGAAAGAAATTTGACAATGGTTTGACGTATATATAGTAAATGAATTATTTCTACATATGATGGTCAATATATTCGTATGGGCGTAACAATTCTAAACTCACTCTGACTTATATGTGTACCATTTAAAGTGTGGCAGAAAAAATCTTGAAAATATATTATTATAAAAGCCAGTAATCAAATATGCTATGTATGTACAATGATACCATGAATAAAAATAAATCAACTTTTTAGGTGGAATTATGCACATGCAGAATGAATGAGTCTAATGAGTCCTGTATTGCTAACTTCGTATATTATCTTGCCTATGAATGAGGCAAGTTCTAAGGGTAAAATTGTTTTGCATTACTTATCTCTTTTTACGATACCTAATATTTTCATGTTTTCGTAAAGAGGGAATAAAAGTTATTCAAAAATAATTATAAACTTTCAATGAACATTTTCTATGTCGCGCGGTTTCTTTTTCCACGAGAGACTCCGTAGAAAAGATGGAGAGATGGTAATCTTGCTATACTTCAAGTTTTCTATTAAAAACTTTGATGTGCAACGACTTCTTGTTATACAGAAGACAAAAATTAATAAACGTATATTGGATACAAAACGTATATTGGATTCCGTATAGGAATCATCTTAAATTTAAGTTCATTCAATATTTTTGACAACGTTTAAATGTTCCAACGAATTAAACAAATTTATTAATTTAATAAACATCTGGAATATTTCTAGGATGAAGAATCTATGATGAAACATTGCTAAGCTTATATTTTGGCTTTATAAGATCATTTTGAATACTTTCTTCAAATAATGGTTGTTAAAATATAAAGTAATTGTTATTGAGAAAAATGAAGCGATTTTTGACATACATAAATTTGCTCAATAATTTTTATCATTTTTTAAAAGTCTTAAAATGTATTTTTTAAATTCATCCTCAATGTTATGAAACACCTCATGTATGTATGTGTATATACGTGTGTATGTGTGTGAAAATTAAAATTTATATTATACTACTTTAAATCATTAGTCTTATATTTATAAATGAGCATTTACATTAATTTAAAATTTATTATCTTTGATTTAACTATATTATATATGTTCATACATACATGCACACTTACACATACACACAATTAAGTTTTCTTTACTGTCGTAAACATAGAATTACAAAACATTCTACAGTATTTATCTCAATATTAAATAATCAGTAAATTAGACAATTTTTGAAAAATAGAACGGATTTAATAGGTACAAGATTTGATGTTATATAAAAAAGACTTAACTTTGTCGAAGAAACCCATTTATATCAGAAAAAGATATCCTCAAAGAGATACATCTTCAGTTTCGATTTGCAAGAAATACATTAAAGAAATATACGGGACCAACCAGGTTTACGTTTTCGAGCTTCTCAAAGTTATATTCGTTTTAGGTATTCTACCTAGAGAGTATATCCATAGAAGCGGAACGCCTCTTTTCGCAAAGTGCTCAGCAACGTTCAGTCATTCAGTCAGAACCTCCTTCCTTCCTCCGCGAGCACGATTTTATTGATCCCCGCGAAACACGACATACTCCTCATTGGCTACAAAAGCTTGCTTAAAAAAACTAACTTTGGCAATATGACATAATTGTGTAATGTATGTACATACGTATTTCGAGGTTTCGTGCAATGTTATATCGCGCATAATTATCACCGGCAATCGTTAAAAAAACGATGAATCTCTCTTTATCCTCTTCATGTTCATCCATTTAGCATAGTGACGGAAGATTTAGGCGGGATAAGTTTGTTGTACGTTAACTTATATATATATATATATATATATATATATATATATATAATTATATATATATATATTATTACGTTTTTATTAGTGTACGTATGTATATATATGATACATATGTTAAGTGTGTTTACATACTGTATGTTTAGAGACGCTGTTTTTACCACTAACACGTAGTTTTGTCTCAAAGACTGCTTCCAAATTCACTCGATCTTCGTCGGTCGATGTGCTTCATGTATGTCTCCGAATATATGCTCTTAGTACGATCGTCGTATCTGAAAACAAATGTTTTTTTTAAGTCATATGAGATTTTGTGTAATATCCGTTTAGTTTTTAAACACACGTACACATACATAGATTGGTTTAAAGTTAAATAATTGCACTTTACTAATACTTTTAATGGATAGAAAAAAATGTTATATGCAAATGTTGTTCCAAACTATTTTATTAGAAAATGATAATAAAATATTAAACACATAAACAAATTGCGGAATAATGCATAACAAAAAAACCAATAACATTTCGTATTAATCTAATCAATTTTTATCTATTAATTGTTTATTTTAATTACATTTTTTTAATTATAGCTCGACATTTATTTGTGACAAACTGAGAAAGAGGGAATACATTAAATATATAAAAGTTTTACTAAAAGATTCCAACGACTCTTTTGTAAAGAATACAACTTAAATTACTCGAACTGTTAAGATTTAAACGCAGATGATAGTGTTTCAAGAAAAATTATTTTTCTTGAAATTAAGTGGTTGTGCACAGGGCACGAATTTACATGCGCGATACCAAGGGTTTAAGTAATCTCGAAAGTTTAAGATTTATTTTAAATACTTCCCGTACCCTTTAAAGAAGAATAGGCTAGAAGAAAGTGGGGGCGAAGTTGCTGAATCGGAAATCGAACTCAAGTCTTTTGCTTTCCGGGCGATTGCTTTTATCACCGAGCTATATTCAGACATTTCATCTTCAATATTTCTCTCTCATTTTGCCTACAATTATATTTGATAATAATTTCTTTTCCAGCAAAATTAACATTAAACACAAGAGAGAATAATTTCTTAGTAATTACGTTGATAAAAGATAATATATATATATGCAATAATAAAAACATTTTTAAATTAATATTGTAAAACTGGCGCGCGAAAAGTCGTCCTTTCCGCACATGATGGGAGTTTAGAAAGGGCTCCCTTTCCACGCACCAGTCACACAAAATATCGTAGCCAACATGGGCGGGTCATAAATCGGCCGATCGTGCGGATTGTCACACTCGGCTTCGCCTCGTGCGCCAAACTTCCGCACTCTCGGCCGATTTACGATCCCCCGCACTTGTTAGCTAATATACTATTATAATTCATATATTGTATAATATTTTTTCTTATTTTTACTAGAATAATATATGAAATATAAAAAGTGATAAATGCAAGGCCAACTAATCGAGCAATTATTCGAGTTGTTCAAACAAATAACATTTATTTCATGTATAAATTATTAAGCTACAATCATTGAATATTAAAACTAACGCAAAACTTCAGTGTTTAAAATGAGCTGTCTTTTTATATTGTTGGTTTTGTCGTGTGTCATCTTCAATAACTTTTTTAAGACGTGATAAATTGTCAAGAAGGACGATGTTAGTGCCTACGGAACGTTTTAATTTCTCGCTTATTAACGACGAAACTTTTCGAGATCTGAATAAAATCAAAGATCATATCGAGGCGAACATTGGTTCGACATTTTTCCTACACATGATGGATTGAAACACGCGTTAACTGCTCATAAACTCTCGACTCTAAAGAACTAAAATTAATTTTCGACATTATATGAATTTTTTTATGATTTTATATTTTAATAATATACTGAAGAAGACCGCGTGCGGTTGAAACGTTTATTTTAGAATGACTGTATTTTTGCGTTAGTTTTAATATTCAATGATTGTAGCTTAATAATTTATACATAAAATAAATGTTATTTGATTGAACAACTCGAATAATTGCTCGATTAGTTGGCCTTGCATTTATCACTTTTTGTTTTTCAATATACGAGCAAAACTTTGTATCAATTTATATGAAATATAAGATAGAAACAAAGTTGAACTCTGACACATCTTATTATATATAATGTATATGTAGAGTGTTTCCAAATATGAGCGAAAAATTTTAGAAGATAATTCTTTGTTAAAAATTAAGAAAAGTTTTTCATATAAACATATATTCCTACATCTCTCCTTGAGGAGTTACACTTTCTCCAAAAAGGAAAGTAAAAATTAGGTTTTTTTTGAAAATCTATTGATTTTACGAAAAAAAAAGTTTTCAAAAGAATCAAACGTTTTAACGCATATTTGTAGATGATCACATTCCGGTTCGGTTGAAAAGTTCTAATAAAAAATTGAATAGAGGTTGTTAGTTTTATCCTCTTATAATAATACAGGAAAATATAAAAATATTTATAAATATACTTTTTTGTAGGGAAAAAGATCCATCAAATTTAATTTTTTTTAAATGTCTAAAATTTAAGAAAAAAAGTAAGATCCTATTTTTATTTTTCCCTTTAAAGTAACATTCTCTTCAGGAAGGAGTTTATATACGAAGGAATACATGTTTATATAGAAAACTCTTCTTTAATTTCGATAAAGAATCATTTTCTAAAGAATAAGTAGATAAAGATTCCGTAAAATTAAAAATATTAAAAAACGGTAAAGAAACCAGCGTAGTAATTAATCTAAAACAGTATCGCTACATAATGTACTATTAATAGGGGAAATCTAAAATTATACACAAGTCAGTTATATTAAAATCTTATAAAATCAAATCGTAAGAATATACGTCATCGACAGGTTGTATCCCTCCATTGTTGGTAGATTAACTTTATTTATAATATATTAGTTATTTGTTTGCGCTGAAGAGAGAGTCCAAAGAAAGGACAGAAACGTTCGCTGTTATTAATGTAACCGTTTGGTTTTTTCAAAATATATTTTAATAAATATTTGCGCTCTAATTACTGCGTTGGTTCCTCTGTCGTTTTTTTTAAATATTTTCTAAAGTTTTTGCACTTATTTAGAAACACTCTATATACATATAATATATATAACTTTAAAACACCTTTCTCTCGACCAAACTGGCAAATTTTTTTTATTACTTTACAATCACAACGTTTCGACTATATTTTTAGTCCTTATCAAGTGGTCAATTGTAAAAAAAAAAGAAAGAATTGTTACAATCCAAAAATGTTTTAGAAGAATAGTGTCTAATAGACATCACGTCAAATATGTCAAACGGATAGAGAGAGACAATAAAAGAAATTTGCCAGTTTGGTCGAGAGAAAGATATTTTAAAGTTATAATATACAGGGTGTCCGGTAACTAACGGACCAATCATTAAGGGCGGATTCTCTGGCCAATTTGGAGACGATTTTTCCTTAGCAGAAATGTTGAGAAGTCAATAATTTTCGAGTTATAAGCGATTGAAAAAAATGGGTTTTTTGAAAACTAAACGTTTTGGAGTTAAAATTCTAACATAATTACATTCTTCAGTTAATTTCAGGTAGAGTTTACTATAATAAATTTTAATTTGAGGCTTAGTTATAAAGATACATAATGACAAATATTGGAAAGTTGTAAAAAATGATGACCTTTTTCGACATTTTCGCTGAGGAAAAATCGTTCCCAAATTGACCAAAGAATCCATTTGTGATCGTTGGTCCGTTAGTTACCGGACACCCTGTATATGTACATACATATACAATAATGTATGCAATATAATATAATAAATAAATAAAAATTAATAAATAAATAATATTTGTGTATATTACATTTTTTAAATAATTTCACATGTGCAAAAATAGAAAATTTTAATATTAGTTTCAAAAAAAGAAGTAATACCATTAATTAATAAAATAATTTATATTTTATTCAGTATTTTAATATAAATAGAAATATATTGCCCTTATAGAATTGCATATACTGTTTTGTAAAATTTTTAATTTATTTGTTAACAAAATACAAATAAAATCCAAACAGAATACAAACAAAATCATAAATTATAAACAATAGAAACAACATCATAAATTTTGTATGTTCGTATTACAGTTAAAATATCACTAATTTAATTTTTTTATATGTATCACAAATCTTGGAATGTGAGATTAAATTATTGTTTATTGTTATATTATAATGATATTTAAAAAAGGAGAGAGAGAGAGAGAGAGAGAGAGAGAGAGAGAGAGAGAGGAGGAGGAGATAATCAACCGATAATTAAAAATAAAGCAAGTTGTCAAATTTAATTAAATTTAATGAAGCAAGTTGTTTAAAATAAAAAATTTTTATTAAACATTAATTCTTTTTAAATACAATATATTTTATTATTACATACATATATTATATGCTTTAAAGAAAAATATATATATTAAAAACATTCATAATTAAATTTAACATTAAATTCATATTTAAAAATTTATTGTAACATTCGTTAATTATAATTAATTAATGATCCACGATATGATGATTGAAATAAATTATCACATATTGTTACTTTATTCTTGTGTTTATTGTCAGTTCAATCATCATATCGTGGATTATTACGAATGCAGTTCGTGCGAGATATACGCAGTGTATGTAATTGAACAGAATAATGAAGTAATTGGCGCAGAGAATGAAAATGGTGATATATGATGCCGTACATTCATGCGGATGAATAGGTTTAATTTATGAGTTTAATGATATCGTTTCTCTGAATTGCGAATGCTTGAGATAAATTTGTGTTCATGATAATTGTCCTGCACTTGCCATTCTATTATTAAGTATGTAAATCTCTCATTATTAGCCATGAAACATCGTATAATAGTTGAATGAACATAAAATATGATGAATGTAATTATAACAAGCTAACAAAGTAACTCTGATGCATTTATAAAGAGATGTTTTCACACATTTAACATTTTATATAACTTTTATATATGATGAATATTAATATTCAAACTATAAAAACTAATAATAATTTTTACGAAATTAACATACTTTTATTAAGAGTTTAACAATATCTGTCATATAAATATAAATTTAAAGTATAAGACAGGTGATAAGAGCCGATCGCGGAAGACAGTGCGTTATCCCAACGAAACTAAATTTTTCGTTAGAATTAAATATCTGTGCACAAGACACCAAATTTTACTTGGTCACTGCCAAGATTTTAAAATATGAAATAATCTCACATATTTGAGATTTAATTTCAATAATCCTTTAACCTCTCTACGGAAATAAATAAATGCAAGAGAAAAATATAGATCCGAAAGTCGCTGAATCGGGAATCGAACCCGAGACCTTTCGCTTGCCGGGCGACTGTTCTTCCATCTGAGCTATTCAGATCCTTTCAATTCTATACTTTTCTCTGATATATATATAATAATGTTGATAAAAATTTCTACGTTCATACTTTATTAATTAATACAAATAATTTCAATAAAATGCAATATAAAGTACAAAAATTATTTTTATACATTGTATTATACTTGTAAAAAAATATGCAAATATAATTTATATAAAGTTTTTAAAAATCTAAAATATGTTATCTTTATATACAAAAAGTTGTAAGACAATGAAAGACAAAAGCTTCTATGCTAAAACAGATTATATAAGATAAAACAAGTTGAAGATTGAATCAAAATAAATATTACAAAAGAAAAATTATATATATAAATGTACATAAATAATTTAAGTTTTGTATACTTGTACAATTGCTGATCAGAATCCGGAATAATATCCTCATCGATTATAAATGATAATTAATTTCTGATGTATCGAGAAAGATTTTAAACTATACTGAAAAAAATCCATGTACTTTTATATGAAAATTATTTGTTCAAAACTGGAAAAATTACTTAAATCACTGTTATTTTCTCCATGTTTTTTTAAAATAAAATACATATTAATGTAAAAATATATGTAAAATATAGATAAAATTATTATTTTTATGTAAAAATAACTTGTAATTTTAAATTTAGTATTTTTATTATATTAGCACTATATTTTATATACATTTATCTATTTTATTTATAACATTATTTTATTGTATTTATACATTACTAGCATTTCCTATGTGTAATTCTATGTTCAGTGGAATATTTTAACCTTGAAAATATATAAGGATATATTTCATATGAAATTACATATAATCTGTAATCTTTCATATGAGTAGCAATGTTGCATAATTATGGTAGGTCGAAAAAATACAGCATAATCATGTAATTTCATAAAAATATTTTTTTTGGTGTATCGAATGATAAACAATAGCATAACGAGCAAAATCAAGTTTAAAAAGAAAAAGCAATGAAATGACTGCATACCTTCAGCTGTTAGACCAGATCGTACCTGAGAGATGGCCGACGGAAATCCAGTGCTTCAAGGTCCGACGGTTCTCGCTTACAGAGCGAACAGAAAGCGCACTGCAGAGTGTTCTTGAACGCTTCTCGAAAGTCACGATTAAAGTACGCATAGATCAATGGATTCAATGCCGAATTCGTATATCCAATCCAAAAGAGAATCGCGATTACGATGTCAGGACATGGACAGGAATTGCCGCATAGCGCCGTAGTGACATACCTGACAAGTGTATAAAATTATAATTATTTATTTATGCAAATTTTGAAAATACGGAAATCGATCAACTTCTAGACTTAAAGTCTAGTTAAAATCTCGAAAGCAATATAAGAGATAACATTGGTCAGCAAAACAAAACTGTTGTTTAGTTGCCAAGGATGTTTGAACGAAATTAAAGTATTTTAAGAATGCTGAATCCAAAATAATAACAATTTTGCTAAATAGATGCCCAAATTACGATTTTACCCTAAAAATCTGACCTATAGTTACTGACATATGCAGCAAGATTTGATCTGACTTATTATTTAATATTGGTTTTATCTTCAACGTAATCCTAATAATTCACATAGAATTTACAAATAGCATTTTTCTATATATATGTTAATTGTGTGATTATCAAATCAATTCTCTTGTGTTTATATTATTTTACAGAATACAACGCCATCAGGTATTTCATATATATATTGTTACGTCCGCGGTCTGGATTCGCGAATTAACGAATTACCGCGACACGCAAACATTCACACACTCGCGTCGGGAAATAATAAGACAAGTTTAAGAAAGAAATGCTTTACTAAAGAAAGCGAAAATAGTACAATGATAATAAGAATCAGAAAAATACTATCTAGCCGAGAAAATTGTCCGAACGTCCGCGTGCGATGACAGCGATACTTGAACTCGATGACAGCTGATCGATGACAACAACTCCATGACAACGGGATGTCTCGTCGTTTCAATACACACTTGGTCATGGCATAAACACCAGGGACGTAACACTTGTTCCCCTATTCAAAAGATTGTCGTCCCAACAATCAATGGAAGGGCAAAAAAAATAATCTTCTGCGAATTCTGTCGAATTACAGTCCCCGATGTGTCTTCTTAGTCTCCCCGAACTGCTGTTCCCAGGTAAACGAACTGCACATCTGGGTCCAAACGACTTCTGATTCCAGAAATTTCTTCAAAATCTTCAGGCAAGAAAGAGGTATCTTTCCGTAGACCCTTTATTCCTTCAAGAAGAATCTCAAGCCTCTGCCTGCCTCGGCATTTGCCCAACGACCCCGGAAAACCACGAATCAAAAACCGCGGGTGAGGCAATCTTCGTCCCTTTCCTTTTACTTGTCTTTCTTGTTTCTTTCTTCTTTCTTTGTTGTCACGGGATTTCTCTGAAACGAATTGTACAGCAGAAATCCGAACAAAATAATTGCCTATTACCGTAAATGAATAATGGGGTCTGAGAAATTTTCATTAAGCTGCTTAATTATTTTATAGGATCTCTCCCAATTGCTTTGCAATTTAGGAAATTATCCTTTATTCTACGAGGATTGTACACCAAACATCCTAAACAACATCAAAATTAATTTTCCTAGCCTTCTGGTCATATCGAATTTTAGAACAAAGAGATTGAAAATTCAAACGCTGCCTAACACTTCTGCGAATACTGACTTCCCCCTCAATTTCTGCACATATCCTTTGAAAAAACTATCCCTTTCATCTACTGAAGGACTCTCTCATAGCAATTCAAAGGTAGTCTTAAGTCTCGTGCGAAATACAATTCAGCAGGGGAAGCAGCTGTAGCTTCATTTTTTTGAAGAAGACCAACAGATTTTTGCGGAAATATCTCTATTAATTTCCTGTAAATTAGGACGTTCATTTATCTCTTTCCCTCGTAGAAACATTAAAATAACGGGATCTTCCATTTGCCTACTACGCTATTCTTCTAAGCTATCTTCTCCCAGAATTATTTGAACAATAAAATTCTCTTTTAATTCCACTTTTGCACAATAAACACAACCAAGTTCTGAACAAAAGCGTCTTGACAAACCATCAGCATTCTGATGTAGTTGTCTCTTCCGATGAATTATTTCGAACTTGTATTGTTGTAATCTTTCTAACCAACGAGCCAATTATCTTTCCAAATTTCTAAACAATAAGAGCCATTTCAAAGAAATATGAATTCCGTCCGAATCTGGAACTTCTTCCATATAAATAATGATGGAAAGACTTCACAGATACCATAATCCCCGACGTGTTATACAATAATTCTTCTCTACCTTACTTAAGACTCGACTGAAATAAGCGATGACCTTCTCCATTCCATCCTGAACTTGTGATAAAACTGCACCTATTCCATGATTCGAAGCATCTCCCAGTGAGAAATGATTGGTCAAATTGTCATCGATTCGACATCAATTCGACAACGAATCGACGTCGATTCGACCATTATTTCTTACCGAGCTGTATCCAAAATTAATTGGCCTTGTTCCTTTGGGAAAGATAAAATTGGCGAAGAGATTAATCTCTGTTTCAATTTCTGAAATGCTTTTCACAGAAGATCATTCCAAATTGATCGTTCTTTTTTAAAAGTTCCAACTAAAACTGACCGCACTTTCCCTTTTAAGCAAGCTGCTAAAGCTATAGTCTTGCAAGAATCCTTACGTTAGCCTGCGCTAACAGATCAGATGGAGACAAGAATTTTCGCAAGGGAACAACCATCGGATTTAAATTCATAACTTAATTCGGATATATAGTGCTCTATTATTGAGGGACTTAGCTGTATTAATTGATGTTGAACTCTTTGCTGCATCCTGCAAAGCTCTCTCTTTCTCTCTCTCTCTCTCTCTCTCTCTCTCTCTCTCTCTCTCTCTCTGCTGCATCCTGCGAATCTCATCATCGCGTTCTCGCAGTCGTTCAACACAATCCGAAATTCGTAGAAGGTCCATTTGCTCATTTTTTCCATCCTGACAACTCGCTGCTCGCAATGTCAATTCCTTTGACGATGATTTCCCGGGGATGCTTATGGGATGAAGTCTAGGGACAAAACATTTGGCGTCCAACGTGGGACTACTTCAGATCTATGTGCATTACTATCGATTCCAGGATTCCGACGAATATCCATGCTCTATTTTAAGCTCCTGCCCAGGTTTCTGAGCAAATTGCCATCCTGAAACCCATCGATTATCCGCACATTCCAACGTCGACTCTAAGGCTCTGATGAATATTCCTGCTCTACCCCGAGCTGCTGCTACAAGTTACCGAGCGATTCGCCATCTTGAACCCAATCGATTTCCAGTATTCTACTAATGTCCTAGTATCCTTATCACAATTCCCGGTATTTTGAAGGTCTTCGGACAAGAGGGGGGAAGAGGTTTTCCATGAATCCGTCATCCTCGAAGGAACTCCCCAAGACCCTCTTCCGAATGACAGCACTTCCAATTTAAAAATATTTTCCTACATGAAAAGGAAATGAAACGTGAGGGCATTCACAAAAATCTTAACACAATTTATTTCCGCATTCCTACGACAGCTGACTACAATTTTTGCGATTCTAATAACCGATCTTAATTATTTAAAAGACTTAACTACGCTCGTTCCTTGCAAAGCTTCTCAGTCTTACGCTTCGCTATCTGCATCATCATCGCTTCTAACGTCGTCTTTGTAATATTTTCTTCGATGACTCTTTGCCGTTCGATCCATTGGGTCACTGCCGTTCGATCCGTTGACTCGCTGCCGTTCGATCCGCTGGCTCGCTGCCATTCGGTTCTGGCTGAGCCCCAAAATGTTACGTCCGTGGTCCAAATTCGCGAATTAACGAATTGCCGTGACACGCAAACACTCAGACACTCGCGCCGGGAAATAATAAAACAAGTTTAGGAAAGAAATGCTTTACTAAAGAAAGCGAAAATAGAACAATGATAATAAGAATCGGAGAATAAGAAATATCTAGCCGAGAGAAACATCCGCGCACAATGACAACGATACTTGGACTTGATGACAGCTGATCGTTGACAACAGCTCCATGACAACGGGATGTTCCTTCGTTTCAATGTACACTCAGTCGTGGCATAAATACCAGGGACGTAACAATATATTTGTATAATTTGAGACGATTTTCTTATGATTTGGGAATAGGCTACGTCTGATCATTACACTTTTTATATTTTTTGTTTTTTATAGAACACCCATTATCTAAAAAATTAGAGCCAATCTAAGAAAACTAATACCATATTCGGGATCAGACACAATGATACTTTAAAATCAATCTAATATAATTGATAATAAAATCAATTGACTACAATAAGTATTTATTGAAATTTGCGCTGAGTTGCTTTACATGCAATCATTTTTCTGTTCTATCTTAAATATCTTTTCTTCTACGTCTTGTACAGAAAAATATTTTGTACAAAGTTGTTTGACTTTAAAGGGGATACAAACTAGGGATATCAATTTGTTCACAGATGGCACCATTTTCGAAAAATTCACCAATTATAACTTTCTTAAATAGAAATCGATATTTCTTTAACAATAATTATAGAAACATCTGACCATATGTATTATATATATATGTTTTTTTTATTTTTCCATGAATTATATAATTTTTTAATTTTTGGAATATTAGTATCCCGATGCCGAAAAGTACTTATAAAACAAATGTATGGTCTCTCTAGAAGCACTTTCTTAGATACACGAACATATTCTTTTCCAATAGCTCTCACATTATTCCTTCACTTTAATCATATTTATACTATATCTCACGGCAGATAATCTATTTTGATCTCGTTATAGAGTGATTTAATATTATATAATAATTATTGAATATCACTATTAAAAAACACAAAAGAAAATTTATTTTGAGCAGAAAATATCTTCCGATACCCAGCCAGAAATGAATGATCAAATTGATGTCGAATCGATGTCGATTCGACATCGATTTATCTAATCGACGTTGATTCAACGATGAATCGACGTTGATTCAACGATGAATCGACGTCAATTCGTCGTCAAATCGACGTCGATTTGATATCATTTTTGGCTAGGTATGTTTGCGGATCATTGATATTACAAAATTAAAAATTGTGTAACTCATGAAAGAATGATGATTTATGAATACAGAGAAAAATAAATAAAACTCTTAACTAATACATATGGTTGAATATTTCTCGACATACTTATAACTTTTGTTTAAAAAATATCGGTTTCTATTTAAAAAGTAATGATTAGTGAATTTTCGAAAGTGGCGCCATCTGCATGTCTAGAAACTATTAGTTTTGTGTCCTTTTTAAAATAAAAAAAAATTTTAATTATCTTTGTTTTCCCATTATAAATTTTACATAAAATAATCCGTAATAATAGAAAGGAATTAAAAGGAAGGGAAGATTAATTCAACATATGAAAATTGATCACCAACAAACACTTGGATCCACGTACCAAAGGAAAAATGGCAGCCAACAGAGGATGAAGGTACCCATAATAATACTTAGCGTTCTTGCCGCTTTATGCTCTCTCTTCATTTTCATCATGTGCTTATCTTTCGTGGGTGTATGCAAATGTTCGGTGTTAATCTCATTCAGCGTTAGGGTTTTCGATGATCCGCCGCTATTCAATTCTCCGTTTAAATTATTAAGATCCTTGCTTGGTCTGTGACTGAGTAACATAGCATTACCCAGTCTGCTGTGCATCTGCTTCTCCTGCTTGTTAGCCTCTTTGAATATCGCAAAGTATGTGACCATCATGATGGTGCAGGGTATCCAGAAGGAAATACTCGAAGAAAGTATGGCGTATATTCTGTTGACCTTGAATTCACACAGTTCCGGATGCTTGTGCCTGTGCACACTGTTCTCTTCCGTGGTATACCAACCATAGAAGATTGGCACAAAAGAGATGATGGCTGGCGCCAGCCAGCAAGCGAGCAGCATGAACGCCACCACTTTCTTCGTCATGTTAATGGGATACTTAAGTGGCTTCACGATAGCATAATATCGATCCACCGAGATACACATCAGATGAAGTATCGAACTGGTGCTGAAATATACATCCAGGAGTTCCAAACGTCACACATGAAGTAGCCGAAGAGCCACCTGCCAGTTATCTGGACACTAGCATTGAAGGTCATCGCGAACATCGCTACAAGCATGTCTGCCAGTGCTAGTGAGACCACGAAGTAGTTTGTTATGATCCGTAGCTTTCTGTGTCGTATCACAGACACCATCACGAGGAGATTACCAAACAGAGCCGTGGTGATGATCGAGCCGAGGATGCAGACCTTCATAATGACTGACGACACGTCCGGCCAGTCGATTTCCACCGCGTTCACTTCGGTGTTATTGGCATAGGAACTTTCCTCGGTCGAAGTAACATCCAGTATCGATGTCATATCGAACGAAGAGATCTCCGTTGGGTTGAACGTCGTTTTTTGCGGTCATCTTCGCTCAATGACGGGTCCCAGTCGTCACCGAGCGTAGACCACTCGTTGATTTTTCTTCAATCAGAAGGTGATTTTGAGATAAGCGATTTTAATCCTAGGTGACGGAAGTCCCGATCAATCGACGCGCGAGGCAGACGTTCATTTTTGATTCGAGAGAAAGAACGATCCTTTCTTACACATTTATTTTTCTCAGCCTTACTTGTCAACGTAATTGGCTTTACGAGATTCACGAAATCAACTTATTAGAGGCGCCTCGTAAAAAAAGCTTCGGCTCACTTCTGGTACAATTTTATTTTGTTGTGCGCACATGCATCCTTCTGTATCTGCAAATGAGAAAAGAAAGCATTTTGTATAAAAGGAAAGTCAAAAAGGAATTCTTTTTAATCTACGACAAATATTGTGATGCAAGCAAGTAGATGAGTATTTGCATTATTCAAAAAAGCATTTTTTATTAAAGTGTACCAGCTGCAAGGTATATTTAATTAAATGTGACACAAAGGAATCATAAGAAAGTATAAAATCATATAACGGTAAACATGAAATGTTTTTGAAAAATATTCGAGAAATATTTTATTATTATGAATATAATATTTCATTATCAAATATTTTTAATTTTACGATATACATATAAATTACTTTTTTTTCAACGTTACATTTGATATTTATCTTAATGTTGAGTTGTAGTTGTTTGATTTAATTACTGTAATTAAAATCTGCATTAATTAAATTTCGAAAGCTTTATGAAATCATTTCATAATTTTCTATTTATTCTCCCGACTGCTGCCAACCGTAGGTTGGCGAAAAGAGAGGAGTATGCGTTTCATCGAGCCCGGATCGGTCGTGACCTTAATTCTCGATAACTACTGCATAGTTTTATATCAACTTTGGAACATAAGTTTCTTATTAATCAAGGAAGGTTTAAAGCGTTTATTATCGTTATTTATTCTATTAATAAAAAGTGAAATGAGTATTATTTCGTCAATACGGTCTCTCATTGGCTGCTGTGTGAACCTAAGAGGAAAAGAAGATCACCAATGAGATTCGTGTAGTATCCGGATAGGGAATGTTGGTGACATTGGTATATACATCTCGAAGTAATAATGACGGGACTGATAGGATAGGTTAGCTGTCACCTGTTGCGTGTTATTGTCAACAACAATATTAAGTGAAGTGTATTATTATGGATATATCTCAAGAAGATATAAATAAAGGAGTAAGTTTCTTCTTTATATTTATTGTTTTTTTTCTTTATTTAGAATATTGTTATTATTTATTTATTTATTGTTTCTTTATTTATATGTAGGAAGAAGATACTCGCTTGAAGATATCTGAAGAAGAAAACATTATTAATAATAGAAAACGAGTAAGTCTTGTTATTAATAATTAATAAAATATATAATATAATTAATAATATAATTAATCTGTTGTAGTCATAACATGGCTATATGAATTTATATTTGTCTGCGTAGCCAC